GATGCGAAATAACACACTGATATTGATCCAGGCCAAGATCCCTTTGGCCTTCTTGGCCATCTGTGCACACTGTTGGCTCTGCAAGGTTTGCATGTGATTTATGGGGTCATACATGCTCTGTCAGTATTTGTTAATTCCATAGCTGAGACTCTTTGACATTTGTTTTTCTACAGGAATTAATGAAGAAGCTGAATGGCATTCAGGTAATTAGTCAAGTTTTCTGTGTTTTTGGGGGGTGTTAAATCTGTGATTTCAGAACTTGTTTTAAAATCCTGTTCTGTATGTTTGTATGAAAACAACAGTGAAACACTTACTGGGTTTCCAGTGTAATACTGACTGCTGAGTGCATTATGTGTGGTATATATGTGCATTTGAATAAAATCCTTTTTAGTACATTTGAATGCTGCAGAATCATTTTGTTAGCATCAGTGACTTTTCTTTCAACGTATGTTTAAACTATATGTGTTTAAAGAAAAGCTTTGGAGTCCTTACAAAGTGGCCAGTGAAAACAAGGTTTATTTGAGCTCAAGTTTAAAATATGTCAACCTAAGTGCATATTGCTTTGCTAAGATGAGAATTCCTCAAAGCCTGTGCTTCATTTCTTGCCCTTTAACAGTCCCTCTTTATAAAAATAGCTGTGGAGTTAATTCCCATGCAACAATTACAATGTGTCTTTTTATCCTGGTATTAGAGATTTTGGTCAGATTTTGCTGTATAACCATTAGTTGCACCTTCCTACACACTGCTACCTTTAAAAGCACTAATTGTTTGGTTTTCCCCTGAAGAATGCAGAAGCTGTGCACTTCTTTTGCAACTATGAAGAGAGCAGAGGGAACTACCTGGTGGATGTAGATGGCAATCGCATGCTGGATCTCTACTCCCAGATTTCATCCATCCCAATAGGTAGGAGACACTTGTACCAAAATGTTTTGCTTTGTCTTCAAGCTCTCATTTTCTTATCTCAGGCACTGCCAGAGATGTTGGTTGATTAACTGAAAAAACCAAACTGACATAATGTATACCTCGTTGTGATCAGGGACACCTCACTGCTCTCTAGGGTGTAGTGGTGGTTTGGAATAGCTGAAGAAACTACAAATTTGATACTTAAGGCTCACTTGAAGTTCATAGTAGTGCCTGGAAGAAGGTCTAGGATTTGAATATGCAAGGTCCACAGTTCAGGTTGTCTTTGTTAGCCTGGATTTGTGCACTTTGTGGTTCAGATTGCCCTGAAAGGTTATGGATATTCCCTCACTGGACATCTTTAAGAACCATCTGAACACAATCCTGTGCCATGTGCTCTGGGATGGTCCTGCTTGAGCAGGGAAGTTGGATCAGATGACCCACTGTGATCCCTTCCAACCTGATTCTGTGATTCTTTAACACTATGTTACGGTTTTAAACATTAACAAGCACAACTTAAACATTTTAACATTAAATTACATGCTTTAGTTAACATTTCTGTCTCAAAAGAACGAAAAAAGGAGTGAGCCATGTGGCCTGCAGTAGGGTGAAACAAGCCAATCACTGAGCTATTGTGCTGAGTGAAAGCAAAGGTGGCAGGTGAGTTGGGCTGGGGGACCAGACATGAGGCTTAGCAAGTGCTTGGGAAAGTCAGTTAATTTCTTTGTGTAGCATTTCAAGCAGAAGCAAAGCAGAGATGTAGGTCCCAGCTGCAGCAAATACAGGTTTCAGTAGTTCAGTTCAGTTTGTTCCTCTCAGTTGCTTAAAAATACATTTCTGCAGAAGTGCTGGGGTAATTCAAAAGGTAGATGATGTGCTATGTATAGAAACCATGATGACTCAAAATCATCCCTACAGGCCTCCTTTCCTGGGAAACAGAATTTAGTGATGTTGAGGTTGTTACCAAGTTTTTGGCATCTAAGACCTTGTGACTGCAATGGGTGTTCAGCTATCTCAGCCTTCTTTGCAGACAGTTAATGTTTTTTCTCTCACATAGCACTCAACGAATGTGTAATCATTCCAGAACCCTTCAGTGTTTGTAGCTTATTTGCCTCAACTCAAGCTCTAGCTGTTTTGTATCTTTTAGAGGCTGCACTGAGGTTGGCAGGTGGAAATAGGGTGAGACAGAGGAGCACAAAGCTGTCTGCCAATGCCATTGGATTTTAGGTTTCTAGGAAAGGAGTTGTTCATGACTTCCCATTCTGCACACAAGAAATGCTGGTTTGGAGACAGTGGTGCTTGGTCATGTAGTTGAAGGAAAGTCAGTGCATACTCCAAAAGAGTGAAATTAAGGTTGTACAGACAGTGCACTGAGGTTTTCCTACCTTCTGGTGATTGATGGTGCAACTATACCTCTTTCAATATAGTTTTGTGTATAAAATATTAAAGTAGCAAGGAGAAAATTGGCAGAAATGTGCAAGGACTTCTGCAGTTCACTTTCTCTGGTTGATTGAAACTGCTGACATAGGTACAAGACTCCAGGACCTGTAGCTGACCCTCAGCTAAGCCATCTAGTTCTTCCTTCACATGTGGCAATGCCTTCTTGAAGACAAGCTGGGTTTTTGTCCTAGGGGACATGTTCCTCAGTCCCAAAGGAACTATAGCACAGTGCTGCATACACCTGCTCAGATAATGACTTTATGATGTGGAGCAACAAGGAGTAAATGGAAATGTAATACTTGCAGGCTGACTGAAACCTAACACACAGCATTAATTAAATGTACTGCATGACCAGATTGACTATCTGTAGCTGCTAATAACATCCCTCCTGGTGACAGAGGTAGGTCCTAGACCAGGAGACCAAAACAAGTTCACAAGGTGCTGGCTAGTCATCTGTGCTTATCTCTCTGCAAGTAAATCCAATAAAACCTTTTATGAATCTGTCATGACTTACCAAGATTTAATAATGATCTGCTACACTAGAATATATTTATCAGCAGAAGCTGAGAGGTAAAAAGTGCCTGTGTGGAGAGATAAGAATTAAAGTATAAAAAACCTCTAGGTAAAGATGCTCTGGACTGTTTCTTGATGAAAAATAAAAATTAAAACAGTTTTTAACCCCATGGTTTTTGGGCAGCTGTAGCACAGCATAGTCCTTTAAATCCTTATCTAATCTGTCTAAAGAGTCAGAAACTCTGTGGAGTCAAATGCAAGAGGAGATGCTATCGATGTGTTTACCAGCAAACATCCTGGGTTAGCAAATGAAACAATGTGCTTTTCAGGGCTGGGAAGGTTTGTTTTGTTTGGGGAGATGTAGAGAGGTGTAGTTTGATATTGCTGACAGCAGCCTGCTGCTCAGTTCAAACAATTCTTTGGGCTTTCTCCATCTCATTATTTCAGCAGCCTCTAGTTGGTTTTTTTCCCTTTTGCAGACAGGCACATTCATGAGCCTGGAGGACATGTACGTTCCTGTCACACTGATCCAGACACACAGCAAGAGTGATGGAGCAGGTGCCCTTCCCTTAGAGCCAGCTCAGTCACTTCTGACTGCATTTGTAAAGCTACAAACCCTTGCATTTGTCAGGGCAATGAACCAAGTTGCTGCCTGTTTGCCATCTCATCCCAGAGCTGTTTGACTTGTGTGCCATAGTTATATAATGGTTATTCAGCCATTTCTTTAGCTGTTCCTGGTGTTGGTTTATGACTGTCACCCCACATACCAGTTCTTTCCTCACACTGTCCTACTCTTCCTGCAGCAGTCAGGCTCTAACTCTCTTCTTCCACTGGTGCCTGGTGGAAGAAGCACAAGTGGAATAGAGAGTGTTAGGTGAAAGATCACTTAGCACAGAAGAGACATCTTGTGTGGGTGGGAAAGGGTAAGTCATGGGTAACAGGAGCCTTGAGTTTGTTACATTAAGAGAAGATACAAAGATTTTCACATATCATGACACCAACAACAGGATTACATATGTTACAAGCAACCCCAGAGTTGATGGTTGAGCTTCCTAAGCAATGGTAGCTATTTATAAAAAACTTGCATAAGGTTTGGAGAGTTCTAAACCACTAGATCTAGTCTCAAAGGTGCTCTCAGTGGTAGCCACAGCTCCTGGGGTTACAGCTTTCAACTGTGTCATTACCTCAACAACTCTTCCCATCACAGCAGATGCCATGCAGATTTAGTTGTCTGTGCTCCAAATAACTGCTTGTATTATCTTCAGGATAATTTCAACAGATTTAGCAGCATGACATGCAGCTAAAACAATCTGGATATTTCCTTGTTTTCAACTAAAATATTCAAAGCTGAATTTATAATTGATTTGGTGATGCCATAGCCTAATGTCCCATTGCTCAGACTGGTTAATCAGGGCTGTTGTCATTCCACTGGAATGAGGATTCAGAGGCACAATAAGCTTTTTTAACAAAATGAGAATGGTCTGACTGCTGAGCAGTAGGGAAGATGAGATTTCCAACTGTTCATTCGTACAAGGAAATATTAATGATGGTGTTAATCTCTGGCTTTGGCATTTCATGCATTAGAAATCAAGCCTCAAGTGACATTTTGTGGCACACTCTAGCTGGAGGCTGTCACCAGTGGTGTCTCCCAGGGTTCTGTACTGGGCCCAGTTTTGTTCAACTGACTCATCAATGACCTGGCTGAGGGGACAGAGTTGCCTCCTCAGCAAGTTTGCTGATACAGAGCTAGGAGCAGTGGCTGATACCTCAGAGGGCTGTGCTGCCCTCCAGAGGGACCTGGACAGCTTGGAGCAGAGCAGAACCACCTGAAATTCAACAAGGGCAAGTGCATGTCCTGCACCTGGGGAGGAATAAGCCCAAGCACCAGGACAGGTTGGGCACTGACCTGCTGGAGAGCAGTTCTGTGGACAGAGCCTGTGCTGGTGGTTTGCTAGTGCATTCCAATGCACTGAAATGATGATTGCTAAATGAGTTTTTAGGGGGAGATTGGTAAAGATACAGATTTTTGCTTGTCTGTTTCTTATGGTCATCTGCCAGAGATGGGAACTGCATGGAAGAAAAGGATCAAGGGGGAAATATATGTTTCTAAGTAGACTTTACAGTGTGGACAAGTCCAATCAGTCAGTTGAGCAGGTCAGGGTGATGTTAGACTTTACAGTGTGGACACTGTAAGTCTACAGTCAGTCAGTTGAGCAGGTCAGGGTGATGGGGAGCGAGGGCAGTAGCAGCTTCTGGGAGGAGACTGGGAACACTTCTACAGCACAGCTAGATGGTGACTGGCAGGAACAATGCTGCAATGGGCAGAAAGTGATCTCTGCTCCTCCTTGAGGAAGATCCCGAGGTTCAGACTACATTGTACTGTAGATAAACCAAAAACACTTGGGAAACCTTTGAGAGGAGAGCGACCAAGCAGTTAATGTCAGTCCTGCAGTACTTGGTAAAAGCTGTTGATGATTCAATCAGGCAAAAGATCCATGACATGTTCACTTGGTTTTGTGTCGATTTTTAACATTCAGTACTAAAATATGTTTTGATATTTCCTGACACAAAATTTGTACCAAAGTTACAGATAATGAGAGGTTTATCCTACTTCAAAAGAAGTTCTATTATTAGGAGTTGAAAGATATAGAAGTCACACAGAAACAGTCAAGCATTAAGTTAAGGTTATTCTCTAGGTTAAGCTTTGCATTAGTTTCTTGAAACCAGAGAAATAACTGCTTGCATTTTTTGTTCTTTTTAATTAGGTTACAGCCATCCCTCCCTGATAAAGCTTTTACAGCAGCCACAGAACCTGGTAAGTGAGCTAGAACATGGAGAGCTTGGAGTTCTCTCCCTCCTTGTTGTGGACTTTCTCATTCTTAATTAAACTGATAGTGAATGCCTATGATTCAATTTAATGTATGATAGGATCTGCTTGATTTACTTTTCACTAGATGGAAAGAGCTTGGTAGTGTTTAAAAAGACACAAAAACCTCTGTGAAGCTGTACCAGAAGTAAACGTTTGACTGATGCATTTGATGTTTGCAGCCAGTCTTAAATCCTAGTTCAGCCACAGTGTTTCCAATGAACCATTTTTTTCATTTTCTGAGTGAAGGTTTTTGAGCCTGGGCCACAGCGTTTCCAATGAACCATTTTTTTAATTTTCTGAGTGAAGGTTTTTGAGCCTGAAAGCAAAGTACAGTTCCTTGAGAGAGAATATAGTATTTTGAATATGAAAATGGTGCCCTACATCTGGAATGCTGTGGGAAGTTCAGGGTTTTTTTGAAGGGGGTAGATAGTGACTGGTTGCTATCTCCTAAGTACACTCCAGCAAAGTGGAGACATTTGAGTTCCCTGAGTTGATTTGTTCTATGGAGTGCTCATTTCTTCAGGATGAGAAATTCTGCCTTCCCCAGAACTAAAATACTTCAAGTTTAAAAAAAAACCCAACAAATCGCCAGGACTGATGCTGGAGTTACCAAAGGCAGAGCTGGATGTTTCAGAAGGACTAGTATTTCTAAATACTTATGTTAACTCATTAAAATGGTTTCTGAGAAGAAAGTCTTCATTATAACGCAGCAGCAGGCAAGGGCAGGTTTTAAAAAAAAGAAAAGAACAAGTAAGCAAAAAACCCCAAACCAACAAAAAAACACAAACAAAAGGCCCTGTTGCCTGGTGATTTGCCCACTGGAGAAGGGAAGGTAAGAGGCTGCCAGCTAGAGCCCTGCAGTGAAAGGAACTCTTCCAAAGTGCAACACCAGTGGCACAACCAGGACCTCTCCCTCCCACAAATGAGCATCAAAGATGTCCTTGGTACCCTGTTCTGGTGTCTGAGCCCTGCACTGGCTCCCTGGAGAGGCACTGAGCCAACGTCTGTGCCTGGCTGCACTTGGGATCTCAATCAGGCCTGGGCACAGGGTGGGCAGTATGTTGGGTGTGCAGTGCCAAGGGCAGGGAGCTGTGAAGAGCAGAGCTTGTGCCAACCTGGCTGCAGACAGAGCTGTGTGCTGGGGTCTGACTGCAGGTAACACACCAGCTCTGTGGTGAAGGTACTCTGAGTGACACACACTGGGGTATAACCCTTGGTTAATGTTAGCCATGGGATCAGTGTTCTCCTGGAGGGATTTGTTGTTTGGTTGCTTTGTAATGCTCCATGTACCCTCTTTATAGCCAGCTATAAAGAACAGAATATGCATCTGTTCAATTGGGCCCACAGCAGGTTGATGCTGATGTTCTGTTTTTCCCAATTCTGAGTATCTCATTAACTACCAAAGAAAAATACACTTTTCTGCCTAATGGCAAATGTTGTCAATTGACTGTGACAGCCCATAATCAAATTCACAACAAATTTATGGCCTTGTATCTCTAACTTCATAGGAAAATTTACTTCTAATCTGAGAGCAAAAGTCAAGTAAGATTCCTCATAGCTACTAAACAAAACCTTTGTGTTCATCTGTCAGTAACATTTGCTTAGACTTGTTTTTTAAGCTTGAGTCTGTTGAAACAATGTTTTGGAAGGAACACACTTGAACAAGTTACAAAGTCCTAACTTACATGCTATTAAATCTTGTGTGAGACTTGGTTTTCCTGAAGAATCCTATTGAAATGGTCTTACAGGTACAGTGTGACCACTGACAGCTCTTGCTGCAGTTCACAGGTGAATAAATGAGTATTTGTGTTGGGGAGAAGGACTGAAGGATGCTGAGAAATATGCAATCTTGAGCTGCACTGAAGATCCAAGTGTTTTGAGGGAAGCAGCCTGTCCCCCCTGGAGACCTATTGAGACTTAACTCATTGAAGCTCAGCCTGTAATTTCAATGATTACTTGTTCAACAAGAAAAACAACACTAAAAAAAAACCCAGGCAAATAATGCTGCTTCACAGTTGGCAAATTTATTGAGCTTGTCCTTTTCTGAGCAAATTTAATTTAAGATAAAAAGTAGCACGATGTGAATCCAATAAGATTACCTACAAAGGCTTAGAACAGCAATGAATCCATTTTAATCCATGACACTTAATTTAAATTAATTGCAGAAATGTGACATTCATCTCCATTAGGGGACTGGGGAGGCTGAGGGGGTTTTTGCAGAGCTGCTCCTTAGAAACCCCAGTGTAGGCAGCAGGCTCAGGTTTCCCACCAGCTGCTGTTCACTGACATCAAAATTACATTTCCCAAAGGTGTGAATCCTGATATGGCCATTTCACAGGACCAGTGGGACCACCAAAGTTGGAAGGGACCTCAGCTGGTCTCTTGCCTAATGTCCTGCTCAGAGAGGGTCAGCAGTGAGGTCAGATCAGGGTGCTCAGGGCTTTAGCTTGGGTCTTGAAAATCTCAAAGAAAGGAGACTGCACTACCTCTTTGGACAGCAGGTACACTGCTTCCCTGTTCTCCTGGTGAAAAACCTTTGCTTTATACCCAAGTTGGTATCTCTCATGCTTTGATTTATGCCCATGGATTCTCATCTTTCACTGAAGAGCCTGGCTCCAACTTCTCAGCAACCTTTACATTCTGTGGAAAGTCTGTGTCCCTGGAATCATGGCTGTGATGCAGCAATGCAGAGTCAGTGCTGCTGACAGGGAAAGGGAATGGTGGGAGAAAAGAATCCTGGTAAGCAGACATGAGTTCAGCCAGGCAGTTTCCCAGTGGACTGTGGAATCCCACTGGTAGGAGAGATCACATTGCATCTGTGAAGACTACTTCAGCTTGAGTGGCTGCTGGTCAATGTCAGACCTCAGTGGAAAGGAGACATGTAGAATCATGTAGAATCAAGGTTGGAGGAGACCTTCAAGATCATCAAGTCCAACCATTAACCTGTCACTGCTCTAACCCCTGAAGCCTAAATCATATTCACCAGTGTCAGATCCAGACACCTCTTAAACACCTCCAGGGATGATGACTCCACCACCTCCCTGGGCAATATTCCTGACCTGTGCCTGTGGGCAAAGGTTTTTTGTCAGGAATCTATTTATTGTAATGTTGTGTTCTTGACCTTGCATGGGTGTTTGTTATCTTTCTCAGATATAGCCCCTGTTCTTTAAGTTTACCTTGCCCTGTTCCCCCAAATCCCATTGCAGTAGTACCTGGAGGATGTCTATAACCACAGCATTCTGAAATGGTCAGTCTTGAAGCTCAGTAAGGATGAAAATGCTGCCATCATGATTGAATTTAGATTTAGCTACTCAACCTAAAGGCAAGTAATAAAGATTTTAAAGCATATTTCCTGTGTATAAGGAAAATTGAGATTGAGCAACTAAAATGGCAATATTGAGGAGGCAATGTCAGTGTCAGTTAGCATGCACCATTCCTGAGCTGTCCTGCAAGAATGCAGTAATAAGGATTAGACAGAAAAACAGATTCTAAGTCATGGATATTAGACCCTGGTTTAAAACTCCTTGTGCCATGATACAAATTTGTAAGGAGAGTAAAATGTAATTGCTTTGATATCAACATATTTTCCATGTGATAGTAAAATGTAACAATTCCTCTTCCTTTGTCTTTTTAGAGCACTTTTATCAACAGACCTGCCCTAGGGATTTTACCTCCAGAGAACTTTGCAGAAAAACTGAAGGAGTCTTTGCTATCAGTAAGTTGGAGATAGCAGTGATGAGTTACCATGTTCTGTGCTCAGGGGTATGGCATATCAAGGGATGTTATGGATTCTAATAGGGAACATCACAGATTAGCTGTTTGTCCATGTGCCTTCCCACTGCAAGGAATGAGATCAAACCTCCTTCCCCAACTTGACAGCTGAGTGTGAGTGCATGACGTGTCTGCTCTGCACAGATGCAGCCTCTTTCCTTCTGGATTGAGAACTGATGAGAAAACACAGTTTGACTAACCTCTGTTCACTGTGTTTCCATAAGAGATAGTGGGATAAGTGGCTTCTCTTTGCCTTGATTGGAATTTGAAGATCCTTGGGACTGAAGCTGAGTTGAGCCTGCTCAGCTGCAGTTGACCTTGGCTTTCCTCACCCTAGGCATGAAATTCATGATGTTAAAGACTGATCACTACTATCATCACTTTGCACTATATTTGTGCTTAATATTTTGGAGTAATTTTCTGTTTTCCTTGACAGGTGGCTCCCAAGGGCCTGTCACAGGTGATGACCATGTCTTGTGGATCCTGCTCTAATGAAAACGCCTTCAAAGCAATATTCATGTGGTACAGAGTGAGTGAAATATTAAGCTGGTTTTGTGGGTTTAGATGTAGAAGTGATGATTTATTCATCATCAGAACTGTTACCGTAAAACGAAGTAAGGCTTGGAGATTGTCAGAAATGAGGATTTATTCATCATCAGAACTGTTACTGTAAAACGAAGTAAGGCTTGGAGATTGTCTTGCTCATTATGTTCTTTATATTCAACCTAGTATAAAATCTTTATTAAAAAGTATTCATCTAAACTTTGACTTTATATTGACACAACTTTAGAAATTATAAGAAGTGAAATAACCAAAATGCAGGTTGTAGTCAGTTTGTATGAGCCACAGTCAGTGTCTTCCTGGGCTCTAATCTGGAATATCAACATTACTGATTTGTGGTTCAGCCATGAATGTATTGGTTACAACTACAGGAAAATTCGTGTTTGGTTTTCTTGCAGAACAAGGAGAGGGGCCATAATAATGTCACAAAAGAAGAACTGGAATCTTGCATGATTAACCAGGTAACATTTGTTCCTTACCACACCTACAGATGTACCATTGGCTTGGGCTCGTGAGGGAAGATTGGGAGGAGGAATCTGCTTTGTCTGTGAAGAAGAATCTCAGTTTTGTAAATTTAGGAAATGGTGAAATACAAACTGCACCCAACAAATATCAGTGAGCCATCAGGGGGGTCTGACCTCTCCTCCCTGAGCCCCCCCCAGCCCCTGATGCCACCCCTGGGCACAGCTCCATGTGCTCCTAGTTTGTACAAAAAGGTGCTGATTGTGTTGAGTGCTCAGCCTGGTGTGAGCTCACCTGTGCAACGATGTTATGGCAGAGTATAAAATGCCAAGGATTCATTAGTGTTAATGATGGGAGGTCACTCAGTTTTTAGGGGGTGACAAATGTGTGTATTTAAGTGGGGGAGTGTAAGAGTTCATGGTGCTGAAGAGGAGATGGATCAGCACACAGTGAGGGGCTGCAGCTCAGACTGGCTGCCCTGCAGTGCTGTGGCCCTGGGGGTGTGTGGGGGTACCTGAGGCCCCCCACACTGACCACCACCTGTGTGCTCTGCTTGCAGCCCCCTGGCTGCCCTGACTACGCCATGCTCTCCTTCATGGGTGGCTTCCACGGCAGGACCCTGGGTAAGCACCTCCCTCCCTGCCCTCATGCCTCAGCTGCTGCTCTGAGCATCAGCTCATAGAGCTGTCACTAAGGGGAGATTCCCTCAGACACACAGCTCTGGTGTAGGTTCATTCAGGTTTGCCTTGGAAGCCCCACCAGTACTGAAACAGAATTTTGAGTGACAGTGGGAGCTGATTATTGAAAAGGTCTCTTATTGTCATTCTGAATCTGGAGTTTCCTGTCTGTACTCATGACAATCCACAGTGGGAGCTGATTATTGAAAAGTTCTCTTATTGTCATTCTGAATCTTGAGTTTCCTGTCTGTACTCATGACAATCTAACTCCTGGGGGAAAAAACATCACAAACATGATGTCACTCACTTTTCCCGTTTCATATTGGCTCAGTCCCTGTTCTGAGCATGTTACCTGTTCTGAGCTTTGTGAGCAGTTGTCTTTGGAGAGGTGAAACCCACCTGGTCTGAGCAACCTGTTCACACTGGCAGAGGTTCTCCTGTTCTTCTGGAACAAGTGCATGGGGAAGCTGATGCTTAAAAGCTAGAGCAATGCTCTTAAACCTGACTAAACCCAATTACCCAATTTCAGAAAATAAAGTAAAAAGAGCAATTAGAGTTATTCTACAGTCCTGATGTCAAGCAATTTTTCACCTCTTGGTAGCTTTTTTTCCTGCATTGTTCCTAGACAGGTATTGTTTTAATTTTTGCTTCTTTGGGTTTAGGTTGCTTAGCTACAACTCACTCTAAAGCAATTCACAAACTGGACATTCCCTCACTGGATTGGCCTATTGCTCCATTTCCAAGGCTAAAGTATCCCCTGGAAGATTTTGTGAAAGAGAATCAACAGGAAGAAGCCCGTTGTTTAGAGGAGGTAAAAAATTCCCTGGCAGCTTTCTGTTGGTTTTGATTTGAAATAATGAATAGTGTTGGTGGGATTAGTGCTTTTCACTAAAAGAATGTTTTCAGGGGTTGGAACAGCCTGTGATTAAAGCAGCATTCACTGTTGTTTACAGTCAGACATTTGTCCCTGCCTTTCAGAAGAACAGCCAGTAGACTGGGAAGGAGAGAGCTGCATGGGTCACACCAAAGGGAAATTTCACATGCAGAAGTTTATTATATCACATAATCACAGAATCAGTTAGGTTGGAAGGGACCACAGTGGGTCATCTGGTGCCACCTCCCTGCACATAGCTCAGGATTGTGTCCAGATGGTTCTGGAATATCTCCAGTGAGGGAGAATCCATGACCTCTCTGGACAATCTGTTCAGTGCTCAATGACTGCACAGCAAAGTTCTTCCTCATATTCAGGGGGAACTTCCTGGGCATCAATTTCTGCTGTTACCTCTTGTTTTATGGTTTCCACAAGTGAGCAGAGCCTGATCCATCATCTTGGCACTTCCCATTCATGTACTTGAATACATTAATGAGGTCCCTCTCAGTCATCTCTTCTCCAGACTCCCTCAGCCTTTCCTCATCAGTGAGGTGCTCCAGTCCCTTCAGCATCTTTGTTTGAGACAAAATCTGTCTCTTTTCATATTGTTTAGGTGGAATGACAAGGATGGCACAGCAAGGTGCAGTGGTGCCCACCACACTGCCAGCTGAACCTGGCTAGACCTCTCACACTGTTTGATTTTACAGGTGGAAGACCTGATTGTGAAGTACAGGAAAAAGAAGAAGATTGTGGCTGGAATCATTGTAGAACCAATACAGTCAGAGGGTGGGGACAATCATGCTTCAGATGATTTCTTCAGAAAGCTCCGAGATATTGCCAGAAAGGTAATAAAACATTTCACTGGTCACTGAGTGGTAGCCAAACATGGAAATACTTGTGGGTATCTCCAGAGGCCTCCCCCCTGCCCCAGGCACTTAGAGAGCTTCACAGGCCTCCTTAGCAGCAGTCAGGGCAATTATAGTTGGGTACCCACTACTAAGGGAGGTATTTCTGTTTTGAAACAAGGGCTCACACTCTGCTGTTCACTGTCTCTGCAGCATGGCTGTGCATTCCTGGTGGACGAGGTGCAGACAGGAGGTGGCTGCACAGGAAAATTCTGGGCACACGAACACTGGGGCCTGGATGACCCAGCTGATGTGGTAACCTTCAGTAAGAAGATGATGACGGGAGGATTTTTCCACAAAGAGGAGTTCAGGCCAAACGCTGTAAGATTTTTAATGAAACTTGGACTCTGTGCTAGTTGGTGACCCACTGAGGAGTGACTGTAATACCCGTGGAAGAGACAAGGTCTAGTTCAGCTGGGTGGAGCTGCTGTTTCACACATACTTGCTGTGTGCTCACACAGCAGTTGTCATCACTCCTTCACTTCTATTCCAGTTGCTGTCAGTCACTAAGGTCATAAGGCTGGCAGGAGGGACTGGAGAACTGAGTTTAGCCTTATGGAACTAACCTTCTGTACAAAATCCAGCCACAAACTGACACCTTTTCCTGCAGGGCAACTTGGGTCATTCAGAGCTTGTATATCAGCATTACAGATTCTGTCAGCAAGATTTCTTCTTTACATTAATGACATTTTAAATGTAACAAATGAAAAAAAAAGTAAAATTAAGGGGGAGAACATAAAGCTGATGTAACAAATGAAAAAAAAAAAGGTAAAATTAAGGGGGAGAACATAAAGCTTGATGCAAAACCTGTATAGGTGATGCTGATTTCATATCATCTACAGCCAAGTTTCAATGAGATATCAGAGCAGCAAGACAGAGTACACAAATGTGAAGCATGAGGTAGTTGCCCTGTGTTTCAGCTCAGCTGGGCAGCAGGA